TTAAATCAACTTCAGATAATTATATATAATGTATTTTTCGTACTGCCTATTGTATCGAGTAGGATTTGTTCATTTTTGAAAAGTAATTTGTGATTTCCATTGAATATCTTCATAACACAAATTCCATACTATTTAAAAATAAACTATACGATTACCTGTTAATTTAACTATTTTATATAATTTATCTGCTAAATTTGATAATTTGTAGGAAAAATTATGAGTTAAATTTATAAATGTCGATATAATTTAGTCCTTGCAGCTTACTTAGCAATACAAAATAATTGTCATTCTACAACTATTTCATAATAGAATGCTTTTCTCAATTTATTTAAATTGCGATACATCAGTAAAGTAATACTGGATGTAATTGTTTTTTTGTTTTTTATTTATTTTTTTTTTCTTTATCTTGTTCAATAATATATTTTAAATAATCGCTATTTCATGCTATTGATTTATAGCAAATTGACGAGTTTCACTTGACAATAGAATTTCGTAATTAGAAATTTAATCTCCTCGTGAAAGCTCTTTAAATTAATCATTAATCATTTACTTTTGGATATATAATTAATATATGTATATATTACGTGTAAAATAGATGTATCTAATAATTGTAGAAATATATTAAACGTGTAAAGTCAAAAATACCCTCGCTCGTCTTCCCAATGCTTCTCAGTATGAAAGGGCCGCTTTAATATTATTTACAATGTATTTTCTACCAGCGGAAAAGTTCGCGATAAGAAAATATGAAAGATAGGGATTGTATTGAGCGGTAGGAAGTTAAGCGCGCCTGATCAAAAGCGTATGTTACTACTGCGTTTTCCCCCCTCGATGGTAACATCGACACTATCGAATTGAATCGCACGGCGAGCAGATAAAAATGAAATATCCCCGATTTTCCATGGGTGAGCGAACGCAGGGCAGATAGAATAGCGCGTAACAATGTCGAATAGCCGCGCTGGGAAAAACCGGTAAAGTGGCATACCGACAAGAGCATAAAAAATCTATCTCTCCGAATCACGGGAATCCGAAGCACGTAAAAGTAGTCGTAAATAAGTTGGCGAGAGGCCTATTGTGTAGCATAAACTTGCGCTGCTTGTTCGGCTTTATCACCGAGGAAAAAGCCGGTCTACGTGTTTTACGCGCCAGTCCACAATGATGCTTGCAGCAGCGCAAAATAGTGAGAGCCACGAGGACATCAACGATTAAACTAAAGGATCGTTCGATTTAGCAGCGGCCTAACGCTGCGCACTTGTTTCGTAAAAAAGAAAAGTTAAGCGCTCCGGGAGATTGTTATCCAACAATGAGCCACATTGTTTACGCCCTGGACGTATCTCGCTCTGACTCAGCGTCCTATGTGAAATATTACTCGCGTATTGAGACGAAACTTGACCGCGGAGAGGAGCGAATCACTATTTTTCGCTTTAATGCTCTTATTTCGTAATAATACCCCTTCCGCTCCACGAGATATATACAAGTAATCTCATTTCTCGATAGCTCGTTTCTTTTTTTAGCTTTTCAGCACTCGTTATGAGCAAGTTGAGTCTCATCATAGAGACTAATTATGCAAAATTGAAAGGCCGAGCTGCATATTTAATACGCGGGTCATGTTTATTTTCGCACGATAGATAAGCCGAATAAACGCTAAACAAAGTAATTTCCCAATGAAAATAAATAATAAATTGTCATTCATTAACTCGTCAATCTCATAAATAAATAGGATCAACCGAAGCTATATATCCCATACACTCTCCTACTTTTCATATTTTACAAAATTTTATAGAATTTTGCCGCATTCAGCATACATTTATATCGAAATCGCGTGGTCTCGCATCAAAAATGCAAACGTCTGAAAAAGTAACAAAAACAAAAACGCCAAGGCGTAAAATATCACCGTGCCATTTGATCGCACTCGTTAATCAAGAAAGATAATAATTTGAAATCCCATAAAGAAATTATATTTCTTTACCTAGATCGTCTCTACAAAAGGCTCAAAATTACATAAAAAATACCTGTTTCCGAATCGCGCGACGCTAAATAACAAGCTGTCACAGAATGCGTTAATTAGTCGATAATTAAATTATTTATAATGCATTAACTGTCAGCTCGAAAAACAGGATACGTATACGTAGGCAGGATCGCGGCAGTGCCGCAGAAATACGCGAATTTACGCGCTCAATACACGTTGGGCTTATTCGCTCGAAATAATTAATATTTCAACTTTGAGCGTATAAATAGGGCCGGGGCTCCGGCTCTTGCACGGCTTCGTGATTGATTAACGCTTTTTCAGGGAACGCCGATGCGTACGAGTGCGACTACGATTAATGTGTATCAGTTTATATAATGCTTCTGTAGATCAAAGAAGAACAATCAAGCATTGGCAAGTTACAGTATCATATATCGTTCTACCTACATCCTCGCCCCTCCACATCGCAATTCCATCGTCGTAACTCACACTCGCGCACCCTCTATGTCTACGTCACTCCCTCTCTCTCTCTGTCTC